CTCCAGGCTCTGAGGTGTCAGCACAGAGCCCAATGCGGGGCTTGGACCCAAGAACTGTGAGATCATGACCTGAGCTGAAGTCGGACACCTAACTGAGCCACCCAGGTGCCCTTTTGAGGGAAATTATAAACATTTTACCTACCAGCTTTCTAGATACAAGAGCAGAGCACAAAATACTGCTTGATGAATCCGCAGGGATACAGTTTCATGGAGCATTTACTCTAATTGCCAATTTCCGACCATGACCACTAACGGTTTTCTTTTTTTTAATAAAATTGTCAATGATTTTGTTAAAATAACATTGCACTTTATAAACATAAGCAGGGACATCCCTTTTACCTTTGCCCTCCAGCTAAAGGATATTAAGCTGAAGCCTGGAGACCTGGCTCGGGGGCAGAAATATCCCCTCCTTGAGAGGTGTGACCCTAGGCAAAAGCCATCCCCAATCCAAGCCTTAACACCCCAACCTGGAAAATGAGACGGGATTTCTGAGGTCCCTTTCAGCTGTGATAGCCCCTTGTTATCCTGGAACAAGAATGAGATGAGTTGGTAAGCTTACCAAGGAAGGAAAGGATTGGCCTACGCTACTTTGGGAGTGTAGCAGAGAACAGGGCAGTAACCACACCGAACCCAACAGAAGCCAGTGTGTTACTGGAGGGTGGGACCAAGCAAGAGCTTCTTCTGGGGTCCAGTCTGGGTCTCCTCCCTCCTGGGAGCGACAGTGTGAAATCCTCTGAACTACTTTGTGTATGTTCGGTAGGGGGTTAGGGGTAGGTGGTAAGAGAACAATTGTCCTAGACCTGACTATAACTTTTATTAAAGAAACCAACCCCCCCCCCAAATTTTATTATAAAAGTACAATATGTTTATCGTAGAAACTTTAGGAAACACAAATTAACAAAAAGAGAAAAAAAATCACCTGTAACTCCAATCCCCAAAGACAAGTCCATTTCGCACACATCCTTCTGAATTTTCTTTTACACACAGGGATCTTCACAAATATAAATATTGTTTATAATAAAGGATAAAGTCATGCCTAATGTTTTGATAACCTCATTACTTAAACAACTGTGAACATATTACTTTGTGTATTATGTATGTATTCCCATTTGATATTTTATCACACATTTTAGCATAGTGTGCTATATTTTATTTAAACAGAATGTTATACCAATAGTGACTATTTACTGAGTGCTTACTATGTTAGGCAACGTACTGAATATTCTGTATATATTATCTCCTTTAACTTTCACAACGTGGTAGGTACTATTATTGTTTCCTTATAAAAGATAAGGAAATCGAGGCTGAAAGAGTTAAGAAATTTCCCCCAAATCACACAACTAGTTAGTAGTAGAGTTTGAATTTTAACGTAGGTCTAGTTTCCTTCAAAGCATCTGCCCTTAACCAATGCACTTTCCCTGTCATGGTGGTTACCGGTTGCACAATATTCATTAACAAAATCCCTCTTATTAAACACTGTTGCTGTTATAAACCATGCTGCTCTAGACTTCCGTGAACATAGGTATTTGTGCACTTTTCCAAATATTTCTCAGGAAAAATGCCCGAAAACGGCATTCTTGATCTAAACGGTATAGATTTGGTGTTACTGATTGCTTTCATATTCATCTGCGTCCTACCTGACAGTGAACGTGAGCATGCTGAAGACTTACTTCAAATGCAATGGCTACGAGGGTTACCACCTGGTCTACAGCCCCCACAGTGGCCTGACCTGTGTGTCCCTGTGCAGTGAGGGCTACTGTGAGCACGGAGGCCAGTGCCAGCACCTGCCCCAAGGGCCCCGTTGCAGGTGAGTCAGAGAGAGGGCAGGAAGGGCAGTGCTGGGGAATCCGAGCTGGGCAAAGATGCTGCAAGGGGCCCAGAAACCCCATGGTATTTTGTGGTGTCTGAAAGTTAGGATGTATCTTCTGTAACTGAGCAAACGGGGATCAGAGAAAAAGCGACCAGGGAAAAGATGTGTGAGTGCCTACCCTGTGTGGAGAATAAAGATGTTATATCACCTCTAAAATTCAAACTAGCTAATGGGTAGGTATTATGAACATTTTTTTTAGTTTATTTCTTTGAGAGAGAGAGAGAGAGAGAGAGAGAGAAAGTGAGCATGAGCAGAGGAGGGGTAGAGAGAGGCAGAATCCCAAGCAGGCCCCACGCTGTCAGCGTGGAAATCATGACCAGAGCCGAGATCAAAAGTCAGTTGGATGTTCAACTGACTGGGCCACCGAGGCGCCCTGGTATTATGAGCACTTTTTTTTAATAATTAAAAAAAATTTTTTTTAATGTTTATTTTTGAGAGACAGAGAGAGTCAGTGGGGAAGGGGCAGAGAGCAAGGGAGACACAGAATCCAAAGCAGGTTCCAGGCTCTGAGCTGTCAGCACAGAGCCCGATGTGGGGCTCGAACCCACGAGCAGTGAGATCATGACCTGAGCCAACGTCAGATGCTTAACCAACTGAGCCACCCAGGTGCCCTGGTATTATGAGCATTTTAAGGAAGAGATAGGTAAAGAACCTGCCCAGGGTACCCAGTAAGTTAAGCAGCAGGATGTGGGTTCCAAAGGCAACCTCTTCCACCTGATTTTGCTTCTGGGGTAGACATTCTGCTGTCTCTTTGTGGAGAGGCACCCACTGCCTTGTGTCTAGGTCCATCCCTGCCCCTCCTTAAGAGTACCAGTCAGGGGAGGCCCTCTGCAACTGGTGTCCTAAGTCCCCTCAGTTCATCAGCAGTCTAAGGGTCTCCCGTGAGGGGAGTGCACTAAGCCTACAGGCTTGCTAGGGAAGAGAAGGGCAGTGCCACCCAGGGCCCTCATGTCATATCAGTGCATCTACCCTCGTGCCCATTGCAATCCCAGATCCACCCAGCCCTCTCCCCTCCCGGGTCCAAGGAGGGCTGGGAGAAGCCAGGGCTGTGCCTGCACATGCTCACTGCAGCCAGGTGGAGCTGACTCCAGGTGAATTCACCCCCTCCAGCCTCCGCTAGCCAGTGGGCACGGCTTCAGCTCCACCTCCTTCCCCAGAGGGGATCCCAGCCTGTTGTGGAAAACCTCCTGGGGCCTCCCCACTGCTGACCATGTTTTCTCTCTCTGTCCCCAGCTGTGTGCCCTTCTCCATCTACACGCCCTGGGGAGAACGCTGTGAGCACCTGAGCATGAAGCTTGGCGCCTTCTTCGGGATCCTCTTTGGAGCGCTGGGAGCCCTCTTGCTGCTGGGGGCGGTGGTGTTTGTGGTCCTGCGCTTCTGGTGCTACCCCAGGAACCAGTACTCCTACCCTCTGGACACAGAAAGTTGAGGCCTCACTCAAAGGGGTAGCTGTGGCCTAAGATACTTCAGGACCCACCCCAGCCTAACCCACATATTGACCAGTACCTTGGCTTTGAGGAGACTGGGAAAAGGAAGGTGCCTGAAGGTGATTCAGGATTCTTCAAGGGAATGAGTAATAAGAAAAACAATAGCACACCTTTTCAGTAGACACAGAGGCAGACAGAAGGGGCCATAAAGACCACCTACTTAAAGGATGGATTCTTACACATACATACCTGCAAGAAGGACACTGACCTACATACACACACATCAGAGTTAATAATGTCTCAGTTAAAATCCAAAATGCATTTGTATACAAAACTCCAATTTACTTCTAATTAAAGTCTATTTAAGCAAAATCCTTCTGACTTTTTTGTTTCCCAAGCCATGGATTCCACTTGTGGTTTTTCTCAGGGGCCTGAAGGGTGAGGCACAGGGAGTGGAGGAGAAGAGGTGGGTTGGACCCAGTCTTGCTTCAGCCCTCAGCTACTCTCTGTTGGGAAGCTTTTTGCTCCACCCAGGTGAATCCTTGCTTCAGCCCCCACATCACTTTCTTCCCCTGAGGAGAAGAACACAAGCCAAAGCCTGGTTTTCGGAGGAGGATGGTTGAGATACCCCATATGGAGTAGCCCGGACTCACCTAGGAACCCTCCCTGCCTTGCTAGTCTCTGTCCATCAGTTCTGAGAGGGTAAATACACTCAGTGCCTTTACCTGTCTGGTTCCTGTCCCCCACTGCCTGTGTTCCCTGCAGGAGGGATTAAACTGTTCCAGCTCCCTTTCTAAGGACCAACTTGAGAAGCAGGCCACCAACCCCCTCCTTAGACCTGAAGCACCCAATCCCTCATATACGATCTCTGTCCTTTCCTGAGCCCCAATGAGTCTTCTGAGCCTCTCCACCCCACAGTCCCTTGGCCCCACTCTGCTTGCTCCCAGCAACCTGACCAGTTTTGACCTCACACTTCTCTCCTAGCAGGCAGAATTTCACACCTATCTGGTGTAACACATCCAACAATAAATGGGTCCACAATTCCCGTGTCTCAAATACCTCAATTCCATCTCTATTGCAGAAACTGGACCTCTTGGTCCTAAATCCCAAATCTCTGAGGGGAGAATCTGATTAGTCCAGTTTATGTCAATTGTCCATCAGTGGTCCAAACTAGTGTGGCCAAAGGGTAGGAAAGGAGGTCACATGACACAAACCTGGTGCTCAGGCTCACCTTTGTTGGTAAAGATGTGGTGTTGCAGGAAGTTCAGGAGAAACATGATCTTTGATCTGAACAGAGACTCCGCACTGTCTGCTTTTCACAGAGAATGACTACTCCCAGTAGGCAAGGCCTCTCCCATATGTACAAAGTTGTGGCTTTATCCTCAAACACCCCAAAGTGTAATCAAAGCTCCTTATGAAACCACTTTTATTTGGGGTGCCTGGCTGGTTCAGTCAGTAGAGCACAAGACTCTTGGTCTTAGGGCTGTGAGTTCAAGCCCCACATTGGGCATAGAGGCTACTTAAAAAAAAAAAAAAAAAAAACTTATTTAATCCTAGCATTAATTTATCAAGAATTAAGCATATAGCCAAATAGATTCACTGGTGAATTCTACCAAACATTTCAGGAAGAAATTCTACCAGTTCTCTATAATCTCTTTCAAAAGATTGAAGTGGAGGGAATACTTCCTAAGTCATTCTATGAAGCCAGCATTACCTTAATACCAAACCCAGAAAAAAATCATACAAAAAAAACTGTACAGCAATATCTCTCATGAACATAGATGCAAAAAACTTCAACAAAACATTAACAAATAAAATCCAACAATGAATAAAAAGAATTATATGCCATGACCAAGTGGGATTTATTCCAGGTGTGCAAGGCTGATTCAATATTCAAAAATCAATTAAGGGGTACTTGGGTGGCTCAGTGGTTAAGCATCCAACTCGATTTTGGCTCAGATCATGAAATCATGGTTCGTGAGATTGAGCCCCATGTCAGGCTCTCTGCTGATGGCATAGACACTGCTTGAGATTCTCTCTCTCCCTCTCTCTCTGCCCCTCCTCTATTTGAGCCGTCTCTTACTGTCTCTCAAAATAAATAAATAAACATTTTAAAAAAATCAATCGGTGTAATCTATCACATCAACAGAAGAAAAAAAATCGTGTGATTATACCAATAGTTGCAGAAAAAAACATTTGACAAACTCAAACACCAAAATTCTTGGCAAGCTAGAAATAGAGGGGAACTTCCTCAGCTTGATTTTAAAAACCCTATAGCCAAAATCACACACCAGAGGAGAGGGGAGCTGAAGGGTGGGCAAAATGGGTGAAGAGGATCAAGAGGTAGAAACTTCCAGTTATAAAATAAATAACTCATGGGAATGTAATGTACAGCACAGGAAATATAGACAATAATATTTTATTAAGTCTGTTATTAGACTTATTATGGTGATCATTTCATAGTATGTAAAAATGTCAAATCCCAAATTTGTATGCTTGAAAATAATATCATATTGTATGCCAATTATACTTCCGTTTTAAAAAAAGGATGAACCCTAATGTTAACTGTGGACTCCGGACGATAATGACATTTCAGTGTAGGTTCATTGATTGTAACAATGCTCTCTGGTGGGGGATGTTAATAGTAGGGGAGGTTGTAAGTGTGTTGGGGGAAATGGGATATATGGAAACTTTGTACTTTTAGTTCAGTTTGCTATGAACATAAAACTACGTCAAAAAAATTGAGTTTATTAATTTAAGCAATTGTACAAATTTAAACAAAAAGAATTAAGCACATATGTCACTACAGGGAGACAGGGTGGGCTGGGGGTGGTGCCCAGCAATTAGAAAGAAAGGGATGTAAAACAAGGAGGGAGGGAGAGGGGTAACACAAACATGGTGGACTGATGAGATGGCCCTTGCCCTGATTATTCCAACCCAAAAACTAAGTTATGCGATGAAGACTTCATAATGTGACCCAAGATCAGAGAGGGTATGCTTGCTTTGAGCATAAGGTCCAAAAATTACATCTCATCCTAAACCCAGTCAGGACTCTTGGCAAGGGATTGACCCACACTGTGCAAGACGTGGTTGTTACAGATACTGTGTGTCATCAAGCAGGGGAAGAGGAAACCTGAAAGAACAAAAGCAAGGTGGCAAATGGGGGGCAAGCCCACTCAAACCCAAAGTCCTTCTTCCCCTCATCCCATCTTCAGACATTAAACTTCTTCTGCTGTCACTGGGCAACAGCGGACGGGTGGGGGCTGGAGGACAGAATAAGTGTTGCAGACAATCCTGCCAAAGGTTGTGGAGATATCCAAGGCCTAAGAGAAGCTCCAGGGCTTGCTACAGAGAAGGAAACCCTCAGACTGGGAAAAAAGAGGAGGTGGGGACACTGGTTGAAGAGGAGGCATTCAAAGTAAGGTTGTCAGATTCAGAGAATGAAAATACAGGAAGCCCAGTTAAATTTGAGTTTCAGAAAAACCACAAATAAGTTTTTTAGTATAAGATGTCCCATGAAATGTTTGGGACACACATGTTTTAAAAAGCATTCATTGCTTATCTGAAATTCTCATGTAACTGGGTGTCCTATATTTTACCTGCAACCTGGCCAAAATGGCTGAGGCACTGGGGATGTAGAGAAAGGTTGTCATGAAAAAAGAAGGAGGTGTCTGTGTGGGAAGGAAAGGTCTCTTGGGGCATCTGACTGGCTCTGTCGGAAGAACTTGTGACTCTTGATCTCGGGGTTGTGAGTTTGAGCCCCATGCTGGGTATAGATACTATTTAAAAATAAAATCTTAAAAATAACAATTCAAAATTAAAAAGAAAAAAAGGTTTATTGGTAAGTGGTGCCATTCAGATCAAGGACACAACTGCAAATTTTCATCAGCCCACTCTCCAGATCTGTGATTTAGATTCTGTCACTCATGCACCTGGAATAAAGAACTGAAGGGCCCTTCTTCAGGGTTCCAGGCATATGTTAGTTTGGCAGAGGGGAGGAAGCCTCCACCCCCATTCCCAGTGGGCGGCAGGCACTGGAACACCCTCAGTGGGCACTGGGCAACCTTAAAGGGCTTATAGCCAGACACACAGATCCCCTTGCCCATCCTTCCCTGCTCTCAAAGGAGCCTTCCAGAAACTCCTCATGGGCTTAAGGCAGGCAGCATCTAAAGACCAGCACAGGGGCACCTAGGTGGCTTAGTTGGTTAAGTGACCAACTTTGACTCAGGTCATGATCTCACAGTTCGTGGGTTCGAGCCCGGTGTCAGGCTCTGTGCTGACAGCTTGGAGCCTGGAGCCTGCTTCAGATTCTGTGTCTCCCTCTCTCTTTGCCCCTTCCCTGCTCTCGCTCTCTCTCAAAAACAAATAAAACATTACAGAAAAAAAAAAAAAAAGACCAGGATGGCAAATAATAGATAACAGGCATAATATACCAATGTAAATATTTACCAAAAAATGATGCCCACTGATTTGAATTTGGGGCACACCCATGGGATCAGTTACCATTCACTGCTTTCCACTAACTGGTGGCCAGTCCCCCTTAACAGAGGTTGAAGGAAGGACTGGCTGTGGCAGGAGCTTCAGCTGAAGTCTCTCGTCAGAAGAGTCCCACCTCATGTTCTCACCATGGCCTTGTGATTTTGCTTTCTGAATTGTGCTGAGCCACAGATGACTTCAAACAGGCTATCTTGTTTAGGTACACACCTATCTTTGTCTTCATGAAATATGTGGCCTTTTCACCTCATATACACACACCTTTGAGTCTTAAATAACTGGAGAATTTTCTCCAGGCTTTCTGGTTCTTGCTGGTTGGTAACATTACTTCTGCTAGTTCTGGTCAATACCAGTAATTCTCTCTCTCTCTCATGTGCACGCGCGCGCACACACACACACACACACAAGCACAAATACACACTTTAATTCCCAAATGCTTCTAATTGGTATAGCCTATATTTTACAAAATTTTTGGTTTCCAATAACAGTAATCAGCACTGCATGTACA